TACAGTTACATACATCCTGTAAGTATTACTGTACACATTTACATTTCGGCATAGCTATAATACTAGATCATAATACCTAATACTTACATATTACCACAATGTTCCCTAGAACCTTCTATTCTCTCCATCTCTCCCCTCATTGATACCAAGTAAATGGACAGAGAAAGGAGGCTCTTCAATGTCACTCCCACAAAGTTCCCAGTCTCCTCACCCATCCTTCCTCTCCTCCGCTCTCTCACAGAGAAGGCTCTCCCTTCCCACTGGAGTGAGCCCACATTATCCTTCCAGTGCCCTGGGCACAATCCCCTCCCACCTCCTTGATCTCTTGGGTCGTCTTCCCTTTCCCATCTCTTCATCCTCTCCCTTTTTCTGGCTCCCTTCCACCAACACTCAGAAATGCTGCAGCTTCTCTTATCCTTAAAAAAAAAAATCCACCAAACTCTTCCCTTGATCCAAATTCTTCCTTCTTCCCTCAGCTATAGCTTTAGTTCTATCTTATTATTCCAATTTCATTAGAAAGTTGTTTGGTTGGTACATCCAGACAATGGAATATTACTCAGTGCTAAAAAGAAATGAGCTATCAAGCCATGAAAAGACACAGAGGAATTGTAAATGTATGTTACTAAAAACCCAATCTGAAACCAATCTGAAAAGGCCACGTAACTATAGGATTCCAACTGTGTGACATTCTGGAAAAGGCAAAACTATGGAGATAGTTAAAAAAAAAAAGTTCATTGGATGCCAGGGGTTGAGGGGAGAGAAGAATGAACGGGCAGAGCACAGAGGATTTTTCGGACATTGAAAATAACTCTGCATGATATATTAATGATGGCTACAAGTCATTCATTACACATTTGTCCAAAGTCACAGAATGCACAGCAAGAGTGACCCCTGATATAAGCCATGAACATTAGGTGATTATATTGTATCCATGTAAGTTCACCAATTATAACAACGTACCACACTGGTAGGGGATGTTGATAACTGGAGACTATGCATGGGTAGGGGCAGGGCGTATACAGGAAATCTCCATACCTTCCTTTCAATTTTGCTATGAACCTAACATTGCTCTTTAAAAAAAAAGTCTTTAAAAAAAAAGTTGTCTATGCTCCCTGTTTCCCCTCTCATTGGTCCCATCACCTGAACCTGATATTTCAGGGGCCCCCTGAGGGCATGGTTGCTCCTTCTGGATACACTTCAGTTCTTGTCCTACTTGACCGCTCTCTGACCTCCCGACCCGTCCCTCCTCCTTGAAGGATCTCCGTTTCCGCTGACTCACACTTCCTGCCTGTTCTTCGTCTTCTGACCATCTTCTAAGTCCTGGTGTTCCCAGGGTCCTGTCCTGGTCCCTTCTCCCCTACAACTCACTCATATTCAACGTGTTAATGACTCCCAAATCTGTATCTTTTGCCCCAGGATCTCTCTCTGCTCCACAATCGTACTTCCAATTGCCAACTAGGCAACTGTGTTAGACATTCCACCCGCGCACTCAGTGTGCTTACACCCGAAGGCAACGTTTTCTTTCCAAACTTGCTCCTCTCCTGAGTCCCGTACTCAGGAAATGGCACTGCACAGCACCCCAACCTCTCTCCCCTCTCACCCCTGGTATCCAAACAATCACCCAGTCTGGCAAGTCTACCTGTCTGCTACCTCCACACTCCTCCTTCACTGTCGCCATGCAGTCCAGGCCACCAGCAAATCTCTCCTGGCACTGCAACCGCATTCTAATCATTTATTTGATCTCTGGTCAGGATCCATCAACAGCTCCCCTCTCCAGAGACACCCCAACTCCTAAATATGACTTCAAGGCCATCCAGCACCAGCCCAGCCTGTCTCTCCATCTCTTGCCACTACTCCAAGCATTCTGTGCTCCAGCCAGACTGAATTCCTTTAAATTCCTGCTGCCCCCTTGCATGCTCTCCTGGCCTTTGCACATACTGTTCTCTCTGCCTAGAACATTCGTTCCCTTAGGACCCTCGTCTCTTTCAAGCTAAACCCACCATCCATCAGTTCTCAGACCAAAAGCCAGTTCTGGAAAGCCTGCCATGACCCCACCTCCCCACAAAGTAGGTTGGATGCACCTGTCCACGGCATCGTGTGCTTCCCATCAAAGCAATCATCACTTTATCATTGTTATTCACTCCATCTCCTGTCTTCCCTGCAGGATCCCAAGTTCCTTGAGGGCAGGTCTTCTGCACTCTGCCAATCACAGTAACCTGGAGCCCGGTCAAGTACTGAGATCATGTACACAAAGCTTTACCTAATTCTTACTTTGTGAACACATATCCCCTTCTCTTAAAGGTAAAATCACAGCAGTCAGAGAAGCTAAGGATGGAGCAGAAGAGGGACACAGCTAATGTGTTTTGATTTTAGGCAGAGCCCTCTTTCCAAGCTCCTGGTTTTCCAAAGCTACAGACTTCCTTTGGAAAACAAAGAGAAACTAAAACTTTACATTTTAACTCACCTGAAAGAGAAAAGTGGCAACTGTTGTTAAGATTTAATGAACACAGCACAGCAGCACAGCACCCGGGAAAATTAACTGTTATTGGGGCAAATCCCACAATCCTACAGTCCTTTCAGGTAATTCTTGGGAAAACGCCTCAAGAAGCTGCATCAGAAAACATCGTTAATTATGCAAAACCCGAAACTTAAGAGATGATGCACACAGAGGCAACAAATTCAGAAAGACCAACATTATCTGACACTACACATGTGTATGCTCAATTTGGGGTACATGAATTATATTTTAGTTTCTATTTCAGTGTGTGTTTGCTTACAACAAATATACAAGTGTACAGTAACTGAATTTCTTTTTAGGATTAAATTGGTCAGCTCCATTTTTTTGTCCTCAGAGCATCAATGGAGGAGGTACAAAAACACTTCAGGCCTCATTTTATTCTTTCATCAGTTCAAGAAAGTGAATTAAATATGTGTAGAAAGTGAATGAGGTATATCTTTATTATCACACATTATTGTTATGGGATTTATATAGAACTGGACAGAAATAATTATTTAAGTGGGAAGTAAACAGTATTACAATGCAAGTTGAAATTTCCTTCAATAAATTGCCCGTACGCAAATGCACAATATCATACCCTAATCCTGGCAGGAGTGCACAGTCAAAGCCTTGCCCAGACATTCATGTCATTAGAATCCTCTTCTGCTTATCCTTTTCAGCTTCAAAGTTTGATATCTAGACTTGTCTTTTTAAGAATCAGAACCAAAATGTGTTACTTCCTTAACCCCACTCTCACCTCCAGCCCACACTCTCTTCTCTCTTTCCCTCCTCACCCCACATACAGCTTTTCTTCTGAAAATAAGCAAGCCCTGGTGATACACCTTGTTCTCAGCATCCTTTCCAGCCAGGACTTGGCCTGTGCCCTCACCATGTGCCCAGGTGTTCACATGCTCTCAGCCTAAGCCCACCTCACTTCCTGGGATGTCAATCACAAAAGTCTGACTGCTCTTGAACTCCTTTGACCTGCTGTCCCCAAGAACAGAGAATTTATTTTACACTGATGGTCACGGTCACTAAAGACACACTAGACGTATCTCTAACTCCACCTGCTTGGGAAAACTGTTCTCCCGTCCTTTGCCCAGTCTGGGGCACGTATCAGTAACACAATCAGAGTGGGTTACCGGAACACGTGTTAAATTTGCAGCACACTGTCCTCTAGGCCTGTATAAAACACATTAATACTCTCAGGTTATCTGAATTGCCTGTCGTACAAGATAACATACGGATAATGTTAAATTCTCTATTCCCATCTACCTACCGTAAATATTATTATCTACTTTTTACAAAGTTTTCTCTTGAACTCCCTTAAATACAGACATGATGACCTTCATGTAAGACTATAAAGCAATGCAAGTGTCCAAAACAAGAACACGACGTTTGGATTAACCGCATCTCCCTGTCAGGGCGCTGTGCTTACCCCGCGCCAGCTGCAGCACCCGGGCCATCATAGTCCCCTGGGCTTCTCTATCTTTATGTCTTGATTTTCCAGCTGAGGTGCTCCTTTTCCTGGGTTCACCCGAGGATTATCTGTACTGTCTGCTTCTCCCTTTCAAATCGGGACCCTCTACCTAGATGGTGGCAGAAGCCTAAACTGAACAGACTCAGCTGGAGGCAGAACTCTTGAATGAAATATGATGTTCTGCAGTCAGTTATTAAACACCCAAATCCACAGCTCAGCCTTCCTCACAGAGCAGCTGCCATAACTTCCCGGCCCCTTCCCTGAAGCTCCCTCCCAGGGAATTCCTCACCGGCTATTGGAAATCTCACTTTCTGAGTTATGCCTCCCTCTTTCAAATGCGAACCCACTCAGACTTCTAGAAGTCACAGCTGTACCTACTTCATCTCATATGGATTAATAATCAACCAAATTGATGACCCAGCACAGAACTCACACCCTCAGTGGCCCCATTGCCTCCCTATGCTTAAGTTGAAGGAACTTATCCCAAGTGGACTGCCTTGTGTTTTGCTAACTTTTCCCCTAGACTGTTCCATGTCAGTGGTTCACTTTTCAGATTTGCACCAGTGCTGGGATTCGACTTTATGGAATTGAGAGCAACAGGGCATGTTTTCCTCTCTTTAAAGAAAAGAGTTCGCCTTGGGAGCTTCCCAGAAAGGTAAGGGAAAGAACAAGAAAAAGAAAGGTCGAAAAAAACGTGAATTTTAACCGTTCTTCTGGTACCTTCAGACCCAAATACTAGGACGGAGGGGATCCTATGCTCCTGGAGAAGCACCGTGCGCGCAGGTCTGACGGCGACCTGGCAGAGACTCGGTCCTAGTTTAGAATTAACACCCCAGTGAGGGATCTTGTCTTACCAGCCGCTGGTGACATCAGGAAGGAAAGAAGGAATAAAAAACAAACGGAGAAAGAACACAGAAGAGAATCCCAAATACCCAAAGCATCCTCGTCTCCTGGAACAGGCTGCCACGCCTGGGCTGGAGCGCCTGGGCCGCGCGTCCCCTCCCGCCGCGCGCCCCTCCTTACCTTGCGGGAGTACGGGGGCTTGCTCAGGTGGATGCCGTCGCGGACGAGCTTATCCCTGATCATGATCTTCAGCTTCAGTTTGGGGTAGCTCACCAGTTCCCTGCCGCGAGGGGCGG